TTGATATGGGAGGGTTGTCGGGATAAAAGTATCATAGAAGGAAACAAGCAAATATGGGAGCAAAATGGATGTCAGACAGACAACAGAACAATGGTGAGCACACGAGTAAGCAATAGGCAAACAATAGATAGAAATGACATTTAGTCAATAGGCACTGGCTATAAGCAGATACCTTGACAAATATTGATGATATATAAATAGATTATGAATACATGACAATTAAGAACAACATCAAAGCTGTATGAAAACAAGAGAGATAGGCTCATTCAGAGCTGAGATTAAATCCTAATCGCATTATCGAGCTTAGGCATGACCACCTAAATATGCTACTATGAAGGGAATTTACTACCTTTTTGCATGTAAGTAGCATATAACGTAATTATACAATATAAACCAAGCTTAGAAAGTAGGAAGCAAGTTTAACCTACAAATCACCTCTTTTAGAGGCATGCACGAAACATATATACAAATCTACATACAGAGACGATGCAGGCTGAGTGTGTGCACCACAATCAGCCAGACATTAGCAAAAATGGATTCTTATTAATTAAATTCCAGGCAAATATGTCAAGTTGTGAAAGACTCACCGACTTCCTCGGCAGTCAGATACCGACTCAGTCCATCAACCACTTGCCCAAGACGCTGATTCGGACTGACTCTGCGCAAGGGAATGTCCCCTTCAGCCCCAAGGGCCTGATTAGATTCAAGGTCAGTCAAGTATTGAGCCTCCAGATGAGGCTGGCCTCTCAGACCGTCTGTTGTCGCAATGTTGTAGAAGCAGAGTGAAGGAGTGAAGAAGAGGAAGGGTATTTTGGGACAAAGTATAGGCATAAGTACAGGCCTTTTGGTGTGTTAGTGTATCCCAGCTTGATGCGAAAGCGGAGAGGAATAGATGGACTCTTTCTAGATGACTCTCTCCAAAGTGATCGTAAAAGGAACAAGAGTTAGGTCTACTATTCTGAAAGATCTTAGATTTTTCTATTATTTATACCATTTTATTAGAGCATGGACCCGCGAAAACTTTTCGGTGGAATGTGAACAATGCACAAATTCATGTGGCTCCCTTGACTAGTGGGCAAGCAATATTTCCCGAGGGTTAAGTGATCTGGTATCATTGGTTTTAGCCCAACCGAATGAAAATTGAAGTAGCTTTAACTAGTTTTCGCAACTTGCTAGTGCTGTCAGGATGATCCAGAAGAGCTTATTTGGAACGGAGTCCTTTGCCGAATTTCTCACCATTAATATGGTCACAGATGTTTCGA